TAAAGAGTGAAGAGTGTTAGATCAAATGTGCTGGAATGAGAATAGAAAGCATGGCATATACGGCGGAAGGGTTCGTTTAACTCAAAATTTGTTGCAGAAAATTTTAAAACTAAGGGTCTAAACTGCCTGTCCCATTCATGAGTTTTACAAGAAATATTATACCAAGCATCTACCTACGACTAGCGAGTGTAGGGAGATTTATAAGTTTTAAATGGTTAGTGTAAGGGGAAAGATTTTAACTGGAATCCCAATGCAAATGATTTAAGGCAAAAAGCAAAAATTTGTTTTTGAACGGATTCTAACTTATCCGAACGGACTTGAAAACTAGGGCTGCAAACCACAGAAGCATATTCTAATATAGGCCTCAACAAAGATGTAAAAAAAAATTTAGTGGTAAGCGGATCTCTGAATTCTTTAGACTAACATTTAACAAAACTAAGAGCACCTTTAGCTTTAAACACCGTTTAAGATACGTGAAGATTAAAATGAGTTTGGGGTCCATAGTTACTCCCAGATCGACAAAACTGCATACTTGGTCCAACCTAAAGTTTTGTATTGCGTATGAAGTAGGGTCTATAGCTCTACAGCTCTAACTAGGTTGTTTAAGACTGTTTGCAACTGATATTTTTCGCTGTTTGAAGTATACGTTTTAAAAAGTTTTACATCGTCAGCATATAATAAAACTTTTGAAAACTTAACAACAGATGATACGTCATTAATAAATAACAAGAACAGAATTAGCCCAAGATGGCTACCTTGAGGAACGCCTGAAGGAACATAGATTATGTCAGAAAAAGTATCGTTAAATATGACTTGTTGAATTCTATTACTAAGATAAGATTTAGAAATCTTCTATTTTAGAAATATTGGTTGAAAACCATGAAGACCAATCTGCGACTACTACGGTGGGATAAGCCTCCTTAACATCGCGTATAAGGTTCTATCGAGCGAACTGTGTGAAAGATTAAAGCCCACCGTCAACAAACAGACCTTACCAGTGCGGCTTTAGACCTGAAAAATCAAAAACTGAGCAGATATTCACCATGCGCCAAATTTTGGAAAAGATTCTTGAAAGGAGAATCGACACACACTATCTTTTCGTCGATTTCAATGCTGCTTTCGATAGCACGAATAGGAGCTGCCTTTAAGCCGCGATGTCTGAATTTGGTATCCCCGCAAAACTAATTCGGCTGTGTAAACTAGCCTTAAGCAACACCAAAAGCTCCGTCAGAATCGGGAAGGACCTCTCCGATCCGTTCGAGACCAAACGAGGTTTCAGACAAGGCGACTCCCTATGGTGCGACTTCTTCAACCTGCTTCTGGAGAAAATAATTCGAGCTGCAAAACTTAATCGAGCAGGTACAATCTTTTATAAGAGTGTGCAGCTACTGACGTATGCCCAGTAAATTGATATCATCGGCCTCAACAACCGCGCCGTTAGTTCTGCTTTCTCCAGACTGGACAAGGAAACAAAACAAATGGGTCTGGTAGTGAAGGAGGGCAAGACGAAATATCTCATTCCATCAAACAAATAGTCGTCGCACTCGTGATTTGGCTCTCACGTCACTGTTGACAATTATAACGTGAAGTTGTAGATAATTTCGTCTATCTTGAAACCAGCATAAACACCAGCAATAATGTCAGCCTGGAAATCCAACTCACGATAACTCTTGGCAACATTTGCTACTTCGGACTGAGTAGGCAATTGAGAAGCAAAGTCCTATCTCGACAAACAAAAACCAAACTCTATAAGTCACTCATAATACCCGTCSTGCTATATGGTGCAGAGGCTGGGACGATGACAACAACTGATGAGTCGACGTTGCGAGTTTTCGAGAGAAAAGTTCTGCGAAAGATTTATGGTCCTTTGCGCGTAGGCCACGGCGAGTATCGCATTCGATGGAACGATGAGCTGTACGAGATATATGGCGACATTGACATACTTCAGCGAATTAAAAGACAGCGGTTACGCTGGCTAGGTCATGTGGTCCGAATGGACGAAAACACTCCAGCTCTGAAAGTATTCGACGCTGTACTCGCCGGGGGAAGCAGAGGAAGAGGAAGACCTCCACTCCGTTGGAAGGACCAGGTGGAGAAGAACCTGGCTACGTTTGGAATATCCAATTGGCGCCACGTAGCGAAAGGAAGAAACGACTGGCGCGCTGTTTTTAACTCGGCTATAATCGCGGAAGCGGTGTCGACGCCAATTAAGAAGAAGAAGTAAAAGTATCCCAAATCGAATTACATATTTTCTATATAACACGATTTCAAATTCCCTTTGATTCTTTTCCTTCCAGAGCACAAATCGAGAAGTAATTAACATAATGGGATACAATTTTGCACTAATAATTTCTTAATGGTAGCACATGACTAAAAATTGTCCAATTGAATTCAAAACTGTTCAAGCCCTAGGTATAGATGACTTCTGGCCGAAAATATTTTCTTCTTCTTCTTGATTGGCGTAGACACCGCTTACGCGATAATATATAATAGATGTGCCGAAGGTCCTGGCAGCCAGTGCTTCTTTTTTCGTGTAAAAAAATAATTGTATAATTTTTTTTTCACATTTATAAATAATAAATATAATAGATGTGTAGTACATCAAATTGAAAGGTGAATCTCCTCCCTCTGCAATACACTTATGCCAACGAATTTTCCAGTCATCATAGCACTTGGAAAAATCCTCAGAGTCCTCTTCGATTCAGCTTTTATATCCTCAATTGACTTAAAACGGTTTGAAAATGTGGCGAAATGATCACGAATTATCAATTCAGTATAAGATGGTTATTGCACATCTTTGTTCAATAAATTCAGACAAAGTAAAAATCGAAGAATTCACGTTTAGAGCCTCACTAACGCAACGTATATCATAATGAATATTTTGATGTGAAATTTAGCATAGATGATACTAACAATACTATCAACTTACAGAGAAAAACGAAAAACACGCGAAGTATAAATTAAAAATTCTCCTTTCAATTTGATCCCAGTAGTATATATAAAATTGTTTAGATTCCGATCCTCTGGTTGATGTTTTACATCTTAATGTATTTAGCTGTTTTTATTATTTTTAATTATAAACATTTCCTAATGTAAGTTAATTAAGGTCTATCCGATGAATAATGCTCTTGGTTCAGTTGAAAAATATTCGATGGTTTTCCTAATCTTGAGGAGAGGCCGAGGAAGCCTTTTGTTACCTTATATTGTTGTAGAGGAGTCTGTCACCTAAAGTTGTGTTTTTTTTTATGAAATCGTGGTTAAGTCAATACTGTATTATGGTGCATTTGTTTGGTGGTGGCGCTCGTTAAAGTTACATTGCTTTGCTGCGAAATTCGCTATTAGACTCCAGGAAACTGGACACATTAGGCTCCCAGAGAGGGAATTTCCGAAATTCTCTACGATTGCATTGCTGATAAGTTGTACCACCGCTCAGCGGAACCAACTGTTAGCGATATTTCCGGTACTACTACTGAGGCGGAGTCTCTGGAGAAGAGGCGCAGTAAATGTTTTTATAAATGAAGGCTGAGAGGAAGTCTTCTGTCGGGAGCTCCCAATCAACTCTTGGTTCATATCGCCAGACCACTTTAGTGGCCAAAGTGAGCATAAGTGGGGCTTTATTTAAAGAGGTATCCATTCACTCCCATAGCGGATATACTATACAGACTTTGAGCTAATCAAGTTATTCTTGAGCCCACCAACAGTACTACCAAGCTACTTCCATATAAAACATGTCTGTATAAATGATCACAGTGAAATCGTTGGAAATTTTAAAGTCGATGAGCTTGCAGGAAAAGGCACGAAACTCGTCAAAGTGGAACATCCAGACAGTTTCTCTTCCACTATCCACCTTTCGCCAGAATACTTTTTACGAACCCGACAAATTAACTGGAATAGATAATAAAAGCCTCAATAAATTTGTGGGAAAAGATCTAGTTTGTCGATGACTCTGGGAATCGCAACGGACAAGTATCTAAGAGCATCTTTGAACAGTTTTTATATCACCTCGCAATTCATGATTGTTTATATCTTTTTAACAGTTATATGTTTTAATGACAATTTTGAACTTTTCACCTAAAGAGTTCCCGTTCGTACGATGTTGTAGCAGCAAATTTCTTTGATCTGAGATTTGCGATACTTATAACGCTTTAAACATACTTACTTACTTTAACAAGTTTCTGATTGTATGTTTGTATAATTTTTTCTTTGAACTTAAATATTTTCGTATTTTGCCTTTGTTATAACGGCATAATGTGTAGTAACATTTATAACAATTTAAATCTTACAATAAAGTAATGGTTTGTGGCGTAAACTTCAGTTGTAATTTTTGGTGTTGACTGTACAATTCATTATTATCGAATAAATGCGGAAACATTATTGCTGGTGTAAAAATCTGGGTACTGAGATTTGAACTGGAGGTCAAAATTCGTAAAAATTTCAAATTAATTTAGTGTGACGAATTGATGGCAAGAAATGTTGTGAAGTGCTGAATCTAAAGTTGTCAACTGATTTGTACATATATTTGAGTATTATATTTGTACAATAAATACTCAAGGATCAAGCTTAAAACGGCACAGTGGTAAGTTAGTAAATATACCATAGTTGAGTTAAAATACTATAACATACGACGATTTACAAAAGCTTTTGAAAGTAAAGTTCATTTCTACTATATATCGATTTCTAAGCACGATGTAGAAAAATAAAAGCATATCTTAGCTAGACCCTAATATATTATTATTCTGAAATGCTACTATTAAATAGACAAATAATAGTAAATTCTGCGTATGTGAACAGGATACCAGCACGGGTGGCTGAAGATAAAAATAACGTGATTTTTATCTTGTAAAAGTCGCCGTTTCAAAACATAAATGACAAACTGAAAGAATAACGAGTGAAATTATTCACTGTCTGCCAAAGGTTAATAAATGAAATGGAGTGAAAGACGAACTCGAAGAAATGTCAGTGATTGTGTTTGTGGATGACAACTGGGATGTACAGAAAACCAATGGAACTTAAGCATCAGCAACTAGTAACGAATCATTTTCTTTGAGTAGAGAAGAGTCACGTCGAGCAGGGCAGAGCGAAAAGACAGCAAGGTTTGTGAATAGTACGATTTAATCTATTAAGCGATATTTGTTTTTTTGTAAACGTGTGCACGGGAAGCTACACCTATATTCATTGATTACATACACACCTTTTTGATATGTTTACGTGGTGCTGCTGCTACAGCAGTTTCTTTAAAGGATAATGCGACTCGTTTTTGAAGATTATATTTCTAGAAAACCATTAACCAATGTGAATTATAATACATCATTGCAGATGGTTGTTATCCTAATGTTCTCGCATAAAATAAGCTTTTGTGTGTTTTTAAATAGGTTGAAAAGTATTCATAATATATAGTATATGTGCATTAACATCGCCATGGTATTTAAATAGTGAGAACGTTCAAATGATTGATAGTTTTTGTAAACAAACTCCGATATTTCATATGCAATAAACCAAACCTATTTGCTTTGAAGACTTCAAGGACTATTTCAATGCATATATAGTGAATGAAAAAAGTGGCAAATGAACAACGGTCATGCGCCTAAAAAAGGATACAATCATTCATGTTGTTTATTAGCACATTTTACATTGAAAGCAAGTTTAGTTGTTACAAAAAAAGTTAACCATGCACATTTAGGTTAGAGGTACCAAGTGTTCTTGCAGTTTTCTAGTTAAAATCTCTGACTAAATATGCAGGTCCTAAAAATTTAAGTTCAAAGACATTTATTTATGAGCAGTTTTTTTCGAAAGGTTAGCCTAACAAGCAGTGGTATTTTTGCTAGCTTCAAATGAGCTTTAAAGCGCCCTTGACTTGAACAACTCTGCTTAATTTTCACTTAAAGCTTTTGTCAGAGTCTCATTTATAAATATTTTTTACTTATTACACAAATCTATGTACATTACAAATTTATTCACTTGCGAAAGAGATTTTTTCAAATCATTGGTTGCTTGCTTGTTCAAAAGTTATATGTCTTCATTGTCATTGTCTTCAGTGAAATAAACTAGGCTTAATCTGTCTTACTGCCAGTTCAACTGGTCAGCTCACTATCATTTCAAGAAACAAGTATTTGTTTGATTTCCAGTCCTGAAATGTAAGTTGTGAACATGCATTACATTTCAGGTTATCTGACTATTTAATTCAAAGGATGCTTTCTAAAAAATTTCAGCTTACAAGTTTTTTGAAATCTAGAATAAACTACAGTGTTCGTGAATAGAACTAGAGTTCCGTACCAAAAAAAATCGGTGCAAGCGAAGATAGAATACTCTTGGAATACCAAATATCTACGTATGTTTGGGTCCATTGTCCTATTGAAACTCCAACTTTAGTCCATTCTGCAAAAGGGGGCATAACTTCATTGAGTAAATAAAGTCCAATACAGAAGACCCACACCGTACTAGAAGAACAGTTTTTGCAGTATATTTGAAAACGCCGCATTTTTCGGACGCCCTACCCAACATTTAACATCACTTCA